CAGGGCTCTGGCACCCTCACAGGAAAAGTTCTTCTCATATGGAGAATAGATTTCCTGTGTTTCAGTTTGTACCCATTATCTCCTAAGCTTACAATTTCAGTTTAGATTTAACTTCAAACAACTGTTCTTACTTTTCATGGTAGAGAAATACATAAATAGTTCCTCCAGCAGCCATTAGCCAGATGAACCAACGCATATGAGATGCCAGAGGTCCAAGCTCACGCAGATTTAACCTGGAAGTAAACAGATTTTAACAGACAAGTGATGAATAAACATAACATGTTGATAAAGAAGTAGTGAGGCTTTAAAGTTGCAACTTGAGCATGAACAGACATCTGAAATTGAAGTCTTGTGATACTTAATATGTTTAAATGGTATTTTTGTATTTGATAGTGTCAAAATGTAAGCTGACATGCACAGTTTTCATACTTAACAGCTACCTGACACACCACTATCAGTTTGAGGGTCATCTCCATAATTCACAGCACGAATAGAAGAAAGAGCGGGTTTGGAAGATCTCCAGAGAAGGAGACTCCACAACCTCTCTGGGCAGCCTGTTCCAGTGCTCTGTGACACTGGACAGGAAGACAGGATTGGAAACAAGTATTTCAGACTGAAAAGCATTGACATTTGAGAAAAACATTATTGCTATAATTGGAAAGAACATAAATGACTTGAGATCAAGACTAGAAGCATTGCAAAGACTTTATGAGAAAATATAAAGAAGGAATTCTGCCTAGTTACTATCAACAAATAGAGTGAATCCCACTGTATTAATTAAGTCTAACCTAAACTGACCAATTTTCTTTCTCTCTGTAGGCAGACAGATTTCTTACCATGGTGCATATGACGCAGCAATGAAGACATAGATCATCATTCTGTCACACATATGGAAACAATGTTCCATGGTCCTAGAAAGAGAGAACAAGTCACTAAGACTAAGATTTAATTCTCAACATCAGCTGCTTTCTCACATGCCTTGGAATTATTTTAGGGAAAATGGTGCCATTTCTGCAACCCCTCAAAACCACTCTGACGATGTCCAGCTGGCTTCAACTTTTTTTGGGGGTGCACCAAATACATCACTGCCTGTATTCATGCTTGGCTTACTATTTCTTCTAATAGAATCGATGTTTTCTTAGCAATTCAGTACAAGCTACCACTCCAACCTCCTTTAAAATCATTAGTGTTTGGCTGCTTAAGAAACCTTTAAAATAATAATAATCACAGAACATGAACAATAAATTATACAATAAGCAGAAGCTATTGCGGTACCTTAGGTGGCTCTTTTTCCAGGAAACGATGTGGAACACCGTGGACACGATGAAGAGCGCGCAGAGCCCCACGCCGTACATCCAGGCCGTGATCTTCTCCCAGCGGTCGTCGGAGAGGCGGTGCAGGAGAGCGCTGCCCACGATGGCAGGAACGATGAGGAACTACGGGAGCAAAGGGCCTTTGTTCAGTGTCCACCCCAGCCACCAGGATACCACCCACGGGACAGCGTGCAATATAAAACCATATGTATAGAATATCCAGATGGTATCCTATTCATCGGATCTAATTCTTCATGTCGCTGTGTTGATACTGTCCAAGTCCTGATGTCTGTGCATCTTAGACACCTGTTTGTGGGTAGTTTCTCCTCCCACAGCATTTAAGGTAGATCACTAGCCTCCCTAGGCACTATAATTTGCACAAAAGCAAGCATTTGATAAGTCTTACTGATTTATTTTCAGTCTGCTTCACTTTTTTAAAAGTTTTTGAGCTTATTTTCGGCTTGTATCTAGGCCATTCTCCTTCGCATCGCGGCAGCACTGGGGATCTGGAGACAAAGCAGCGCTCCGGGTTCTTTAAAGCACTTACTTCCATCAGCACAGCCAAATCAAGGTGCTGTGCCTGCGGTACTATAGATTAGCAGTAGTATTACCAACGTGTTCATGTTAAAACCTGGCAGAATCACACTTAGATTTTTAGTCTGTAAAAGTGGTTATTACAACTCTACATGTAATACAGCCTTTGGAGAGGTATGTTTGCTTGTCAGTACAGTATGTGGAATGTAACCATTTCTTGCAAGATTTTGCAATATGAATAACTGCATAGATGACAGTTGTGTGTTTTCAGTTCAAAAAATGTATTTAAAGTTTACAAAAAAACACGATGAGTTTTATAAAAGTCGCATTATACCAAGATAACGGGTGGCAGAAGTAGACCATCCAGCTGCGATTCACCTTTAGTGAATGACTAGTGGAAAGTGATAGAAACTAATTTCAAATAAAGAGTTACATTTTTCTTATTGCACTGACTTCACAATTTGAATCACTAATTTAGAAAAGATTCATATATTTAAAAATTGTAAAATTAAACTAGAATACAAAATTTATTTGTAAACATCAGGTAGCCGGTTCTACTAATGTGGAATGGACTCTTAGTATTGCAGTTCAGGATCGTGGTTACTTACAGCACTTGCCATATCTGAAGGGCAATTCCAGGACACATACAACATCGGTTCACAGTAATTGTGTTCAGAGAACTATCAAAGTCAGTGCATTTTTTCTTGTGCAACTTCCCAATTTCCCCCAATTCCTTAAGTCAAATAATACTGCTACAGAGGCCAAGTGCAGATTCACTTGTCCTGCGCCCCCAGGTATCACAAGTGGCGAATGATGTCGGCAGGACTCCTGTAAAGGTACTTCCAAATAGCATAGTAATGGACTGCAGCTGCTGTGGCCACAAACATGTGCCAGATGGCGTGGGCAAAGGGGATGATGCCATCGCTCTTGAAGAACACCACCCCCAGACAGTATATCAGGCCTCCCCAGGCGACCTCCTGAAGTCCATCCGTGTTGCTCTGCCAGTTAATAAGGAGAAGTTAGGAGCGTGGTGTAAGGAAGGAAGAGAGTATTTTACTTAAAGTGCATTTTAGTTCCTCAGGATGGCCTGGCTGGCATAACTCAAAACATCCTGAATAGTAGGTTTGACCCACTCAGATTGACAAGTGGCAAAAATGATTTGCTTAGTACATATTTCAAACTAATCTAAATATGTATTTATTTTACTTGGCACTACAGAAGGTACAGTAAGATAACACAAGGTAAGCCTGACATTTTGTCTGTTGCTGGCTGGTAGAACAGGCAAATATAGAGAAAAATAAAACTCCACTGTTGCATATGAACACGAGTTGAATGTGACCAATTCTACTAGCTCAATGAATTATCAAGTAGCATTTTGATATAACACCAATTTAATGTGAAAAATGACTGAAGTACTGTAACTGGCATGACCTGTATACCCCAGATACACAGCTCTAAACAGACTGCAGACTCTAGGAAATCTGGCCTTTGTAGAGTATAGATTTGGAAAGTTATACCTTATGAATCTGATTTACATTTTCAGGAAAGAGTTCTTCAGAGTTGTTTAAAATGCACATAAAGAATCAAAGTTGAGGTGCAGGAGACAGGCAGAAAGGTTTTTTACCCGTTTCCAGATGCACCGGGGAATATATATCTCAATTTGCCGATAAATGAAATAGCTCAGATACAGTGCATCAGCTACATAAGTTTGATATAGTTCAGCTACTCAACATTTCAATTCTGCTCTGCTTCACTGATTTAAAAGGAAAGAGGCCTAGTAATAGATTTTTTTTAAAAAAAAGTCTTCTAGACTTGTTCCACTTAAGGCATTTTGACTCATTTTCTCATTTTACTTTGTTCTTAGTCCAGGAGAAAGAACACACACATTAGTTTTTCAAGCTCTTAAGTGTAACAGAAAGAAGAGCACAACATATGTTGGCAGATGTGCATTTCACTTTCCAAAATAAAACCATCTTTCATAACTTGCAAGTAGTGAGCAGACATAAGTTCATAAATAGCAAAATCGAAAAACATTGCTTCTACAGATTAACATACTTCCTATCTTTCTCATTTTTAATAAAAAAAAACAAATTGTTCTGTGCAATATTTTTGGATATGGGAATATTCATGAAGCCTCAAACTAAATTATTTAATTGACACTCTGGATAAAAAAAAAACAAACTTAAAGTGGCACTTCACTGAATTTGAACTACAAACTTAGAACACAACTGAATATTTGGTTCTTCTATGGCAAGCATGTATAGTTATGCTGGACTGAAGTTAAAATCTGTTCAGAAAACTACAGCTGCACTGGAACTTAAAATCTGTTACAAAAGGAAAGTTCATATAAAGTTAACTGCATTCCTTACCATGGATGTCACTACCAGAGCAGGAGAAAATCCCATTGCCAAGTAGAAAAAGAGTTCAACAATCTTGTACCTAAAAAGGAACAAAAATTAAGTCATTTAAGGAGAGTGAACACTTCATTTAGCAGTAAAGAAAATATTTTTACTCTTTATGTTAATACCCAAAGCCTCCAAAAAGCTTTCTACGTAGAGAGATAACTGATGTTTTATTATCAAACTAGCAAAGCTAGTATTTACCTCAGCACAATAGATTTGCAGACAATATCTTTTTCTCTAAAGAATTGGAAAAAAAGAAATGTTTCTAGGCAGTAAGTAGCCATGAAAATACAACCATCAAGACTTCTTAAGTTGAAGCTGCTACAATAGCTCCTATCCAAAACAAAGACCAGTTGGACTTGCCCACCGATAACAGGCAAGGGAAGCACTCAGCAAGGCAGGGCTGCTCCCGAACACGGGAGAGGCCAGATTCCCAGCGAAGCTAATCGGAAACCAGGAGAATCACACACAGAGTCACAGAAAGGCTGAGGCTGGAAGGGGCCTCTAGAGATCACCCAGACCAACCCCTGCTCTCCAGGGACACCCAGGGCACAGGGTCCATCCAGGCAGGTTGAACATCTCCAGGGAAGGAGCCTCCACAGCCTCTCTGGGCAGCCTGTGCCAGGGCTCTGGCACCCTCACAGGAAAAGTTCTTCTCATATGGAGAATAGATTTCCTGTGTTTCAGTTTGTACCCATTATCTCCTAAGCTTACAATTTCAGTTTAGATTTAACTTCAAACAACTGTTCTTACTTTTCATGGTAGAGAAATACATAAATAGTTCCTCCAGCAGCCATTAGCCAGATGAACCAACGCATATGAGATGCCAGAGGTCCAAGCTCACGCAGATTTAACCTGTAAGTAAACAGATTTTAACAGACAAGTGATGAATAAACATAACATGTTGATAAAGAAGTAGTGAGGCTTTAAAGTTGCAACTTGAGCATGAACAGACATCTGAAATTGAAGTCTTGTGATACTTAATATGTTTAAATGGTATTTTTGTATTTGATAGTGTCAAAATGTAAGCTGACATGCACAGTTTTCATACTTAACAGCTACCTGACACACCACTATCAGTTTGAGGGTCATCTCCATAATTCACAGCAAGAATAGAAGAAAGAGGAAGAACACGGCTCAAAATGTCAGTTCAAGCTTAATTGTTAACAAATATAGCAAATATAGACAGGAAGCCAGGATTGGAAACAAGTATTTCAGACTGAAAAGCATTGACATTTCAGAATAGAAGAAAGAGGAAGAACACGGCTCAAAATGTCAGTTCAAGCTTAATTGTTAACAAATATAGCAAATATAGACAGGAAGCCAGGATTGGAAACAAGTATTTCAGACTGAAAAGCATTGACATTTCTGAGAAAAACATTATTGCTATAATTGGAAAGAACATAAATGACTTGAGATCAAGACTAGAAGCATTGCAAAGACTTTATGAGAAAATATAAAGAAGGAATTCTGCCTAGTTACTATCAACAAATAGAGTGAATCCCACTGTATTAATTAAGTCTAACCTAAACTGACCAATTTTCTTTCTCTCTGTAGGCAGACAGATTTCTTACCATGGTGCATATGACGCAGCAATGAAGACATAGATCATCATTCTGTCACACATATGGAAACAATGTTCCATGGTCCTAGAAAGAGAGAACAAGTCACTAAGACTAAGATTTAATTCTCAACATCAGCTGCTTTCTCACATGCCTTGGAATTATTTTAGGGAAAATGGTGCCATTTCTGCAACCCCTCAAAACCACTCTGACGATGTCCAGCTGGCTTCAACTTTTTTTGGGGGTGCACCAAATACATCACTGCCTGTATTCATGCTTGGCTTACTATTTCTTCTAATAGAATCGATGTTTTCTTAGCAATTCAGTACAAGCTACCACTCCAACCTCCTTTAAAATCATTAGTGTTTGGCTGCTTAAGAAACCTTTAAAATAATAATAATCACAGAACATGAACAATAAATTATACAATAAGCAGAAGCTATTGTGGTACCGTAGGTGGCTCTTTTTCCAGGAAACGATGTGGAACACCGTGGACACGATGAAGAGCGCGCAGAGCCCCACGCCGTACATCCAGGCCGTGATCTTCTCCCAGCGGTCGTCGGAGAGGCGGTGCAGGAGAGCGCTGCCCACGATGGCAGGAACGATGAGGAACTACGGGAGCAAAGGGCCTTTGTTCAGTGTCCACCCCAGCCACCAGGATACCACCCACGGGACAGCGTGCAATATAAAACCATATGTATAGAATATCCAGATGGTATCCTATTCATCGGATCTAATTCTTCATGTCGCTGTGTTGATACTGTCCAAGTCCTGATGTCTGTGCATCTTAGACACCTGTTTGTGGGTAGTTTCTCCTCCCACAGCATTTAAGGTAGATCACTAGCCTCCCTAGGCACTATAATTTGCACAAAAGCAAGCATTTGATAAGTCTTACTGATTTATTTTCAGTCTGCTTCACTTTTTAAAAAAGTTTTTGAGCTTATTTTCGGCTTGTATCTAGGCCATTCTCCTTCGCATAAGGACTGAGCAATGAACAAAACAAAGAGAAACTTAAAACACCTTTGTGGGGGGGGGAATGGAAAAAAAAGCATTTAGAGCATGCAGGTGAGAAGAAAAAATAGCAAAGGTTTGCAGATCTTGCGTTTTAGATATCATAAATCAGCTGCAAACTTCTAGTTCGAACAGATCCTTAATACATAAATATTATGGTTTTTAAGGTAATGTATCCCAGCGTTTTCCTCACCACCTGCCTCTCAAAGCAGTTTTTGTTCCCACCTTCCTTAGCATGTTCATAGGAAAGAGGCTGCAGGCTTTCTATAACTGCTTGGAAATGCATGCAAAACACCACTGCTTTCCAGGATAAAGTCATCTACCTTTGTCTCTTCAAAAGGACAAACTAGGAAAGCAACACAAAAACCATCCAACAAGTATTGAAAGGAAAGAAACTGCTGGCTCCAACATTCCTATCCATCCACTATGAAAATAGATCCTTTGTCAGATTTCTAAGTTACAAAACTATAATACAAATTTCCTTCCTCCAATTGCTCCTGTATGTTTGAAGATGTTAATGAGTTTACCTGAATTGTAAATAAACCTCATAGTTTAAACTACGAGTAACCCAAGTCCTGCATGCTTATTAACAATAAAGGTAGGAGCCAGGAACATTCAAATGAGTTTGGTGCTTCTGCTTTGCATTACAGGTTTGATAGCCAGGAGTGCAAAGTTCTGGCCTCAGCTGCACCATCCCTGCCCTTTTTTTGCTTGGAGATGAGAAGAAATTGATGTTCTGCTCTGTTACAGCCTAAAAAGTGCAGGGGATGCTGGATGAGTCTGAAAAGCAGCTGGTTAATCCAAAGAAACAGTTAAAAATCACCACTTCTGTATTTTTAAGCGCATCAGCGGTAACTTCACTGCTCTTGCATCTCCTTCCTTTTTTGCAAAGCTGAGTACAATTAACACAGGAGATGCAGAATGATACAAGTGAGAAACAGGACGTCCCTAGAGCTGCAGCACCTGGAGCAGCAGCAAAGCCTCTAATCTCTGGACCTAGGCAGGCAGCCTGCATGCAGGCACTGCTTTATCACCTGTGTTCCACAGAGTCGTGGGGTTAAAATGAACAATTGTTCAATCACCTCTTTCTTCCCACCTTCAGAGAGAAGGGTGAAATTCATCTTCTCTCTGCCTTGTTCCGACACTAAAGAAAAAAAAATCTGCTTCTCTAGAACGCCACCATACTAAAAGGAGAGGGATTTATTGTTTTTTCTAGTATTGTATTTGGAAACAAGCACACTTGGCCTCCATGTCCTGATATGTTTTATTACACCTCTTTTGACCAAAAAGCTGGATTAAAAACCAAGGAAACACAGAAAAATAGCATGTCTAGCCAATTCGGTAAAAGCTCCTCAGATATTAATGCCATACCAGATAACATATGACACAGAATGCACTATTTTAGCTACTATACATCTTCTGCAAGTAATCTTGCAGTAAGTTTTGTTTTTGCAGTACTTTGCAGTAAGTACTTGTTTTAGTGAACATTTCCCATGTTCATTTGATAAAGCATCTTGAGTGCAAGAACAGAATTTTGATCTTCATAATGGAGAAGCAATCAATGGTTCATTTAAAAGAAAAAGTAAAGTAATCAAATAATTAGAACAGCCAGAACGAGTGTGATACCACTGTGCCATTTTATAGGAATGACACAGTATTTCTAAGTTGCCAAAATTCCTGGCAATAAAGTTAGCTTAAAGTCACAAAAAACTTTGCTTATTTCATTATGAAATGCAAGTGTTCCAAATGAATACTGTCAATATTACTATGCTGTGAGCAAAACTGTGATGCACCAATTTACGAATTTTGGTTCTTTCATTAATACTTGCTAATTAAAAAATGGAGTTGGCAGTGAGATTTAAAGGACATGAGAATAAGGCAACAATTTCACTGATTTTTCTGTAGAGATGCCAGAAAAATAAAATAAAATAAATAAATGAACCTTAAGTTACAATTTCCCTGGCAAAACAAAGAGAAACAAAGGATTAATATATATGTATTTATGTCCATATTGTATTTTTAAAAGATGATTTAGGCACAACCTCCATGCAATGTAATTTGGGAAACCAACCACCACTATTGCCAACAGCTGCTGCTGTGAAATAGCCTTAAGGCACAAAAATGCTGAAACAGTAAACCCTGAACTTGACCAGCCGTAATTCAGTGCAATTGCGCTCTCGTTACTATCTTACAGCAGTGTAGAAGCAGCTTTCTGACATCTTCGTTCTAATTATTTGGTGCTGCTGAGTATACTAGTGCTTTACTCAGTACTCTATTCCCACAGAGAGACCTAACTATCTATTAAATATTTTGCTTTGGTATAACAGCATCAATGGCAAATTGAGTTATTTGGTTTGCCACAGGGTTATGCAGGAAATTTAGTCAGCAACACGACCTTTGGCATGCAAGCCACTGCAGCAAACCCAGCACTGCCCTTCCGTTCCACGTGCAATTCATCGAGGGGGAAATGCTAACAGCAAAGATAACCCTGCGCTGCCTCCTTGGAGCAGGAAGACAGTGGAAGATAAACAAACAAATCAATCAACAAAGCCCCCAAACCCCACGTGGTGCTTGGAGGACAGGCTGAGGCAGCGCTCGGCTCGGGTGACCAGGAGCCAGGTCCAGGGTTTCTGTGTGCAGGTTTTACACGGGGACAAGCAGCCACCCCCCCACATTTTGCTTTATCTTACCTTGCAGCTCAAAGGGTTACGACTCCTGCTTCTCACACGCTGCTTCCTTCCTGCTCCTCTAAATATAGAGGTGTCTTTTCTGCCTCTACATTCATCTGCTTAGCTGCCCTTCCTGTCTCCTAGTGTCTAAAGATGATTCAGTGCTTCTTTTAAAGCTAAAAATCAAGACATTTTAAAAAAACTTCAAATTTCTACCTAGAAAGGCTATTTTAGTATGCTACATGCAATTAGCTTTTAAGTGATGTGACAAAGCTACACAATATTTCGTATCCTAATTTCTTAACTAGTATTTTGGAGGCAGCTGCCAACGCCAACGGCTGCGTATTTGAATTGAAAAGCCAGAAGAGACAGACACCTACCCAAGGAACAGAGCCATGCTCATAAAAACAGATTGACAGCTTTGAGCTGTGAATAGAGCTTTGGAAAAGAGCTAGAGCGCAGGCTGCTAAACACTGTTTTGTTGAGATCGCATCAGTGTCTAATTGAAACCTCATACTGTAATCTAGCAGCACACACTCAATGCACAAGCCTTCTTTTTTTTCCCCTCCTCCCCCTTTCTCTCTCCTCCAGCCAGATGAAGGCTAGAAGAGTTAAAGAGGATAGAAACTGTTGCCAGACGTTTTGAAATCTAACTCTTTGGCCAGAGCAAACAGGATTCGTACGGGGATTAAGAGATAAACTATGTATTTGTGCTAACTAACAGAAAGTTGCTTCATTTCTCTGGACAAATAAGCATATTTTTATCTAGTGCTGTAGATGAGACCCCTGGTTTAAAACCACACAGAAGCCTCAGCTGCCTTTCTTATACATAAACCAAGGTGATTCAGTTTTGCCAGCACCACAGAGCTGTACCTCGATAATTTATAAAATGCACAGGACGGATCTTTAGGAGTAGATCTCCTAGAACTGAAGAGTCCCACCCCATGCAGCACCTGGAGAATTCGTATTTGCAGTTTGCTCAGGAGACACCAGAGATGAATGAGAATGAAGAACGACACCAAAGTCAAACATAGTCCATATCTCTGGAGTTAAACACAAGGTCAGTGAGGAGCACCCGCTGTCTTCATAAAACGTCAGTGTAAGAAAACCCCCCTTTTTAGAGCCCTTCCTCAAAGTGCAAGACTGCAAATTAAACCTCCCAATTACAACACACACACCCCCCTACCACTGGTCTATTTTCATTATTTGATGTATATGTCACATGTTCAGATATACAGGTCCTTATATTATGGAAAGGAGGACAGACTAGGATTTTTAAACGGGGCTCTTTAGCATTTGTGATCAGCATTGTTAACACCCCTCTCTAAATACCAGTGCTCACAAAGAATCAGTTTATATATACTATTAAACATGAGAATTAAGCCATTATAGCTCTGCTAGCTAAGACTCAATCTTACATAAAACTTTCTCCTTTTAATGTGGGAAGAACAACCTCATACTTCCATTATACAATTCCCACAATATATGCAAGCATAATCTTGCTCAGCTACCACATGCCCATGTTCATTTTGCTGCCGTCCTCCTTCCACTGGCACAGAGGAAAACCCTCCAGTGAAAAACAGGCGACTAACTTTGGTAAAGAGGAACCTTACGAAGCACTTGGAGGTTCTGGAGAATCCGAACACGGACTAGCTATCACCAAACATCTAATTAGCGTTACATTTACTCGTCTTTTAATAGCTGGAGCTTGTTTAACAAAACCAGAGAGGTTGTAAATATGACTACACTTGGGCAAAGGTAAGTATTTAGTCATCCAAACCCCCAAGAATTTGCCAAACTTCTAGTTAAAGAAAGGAGGAAAAAACACTTACTGCATGTGTGTAGCAGTTAGCAGCATGTTCATAACAAGTGGGTTTGTAGCGGCTGTTTGCTGGAGCCGGGTGGTTCATGAACCTGTTGGATAATCAAGGAGTACTGTCAGGAAACACAAAAACCACATTTTTGGAGTGCCATAAAGCAACACTTCCAACCTAGTAGTGTTAAAAGTAAGCACAGACATGTTTAAGGTAGCTGTTACTTAAGCTGTAATCTCTCCCAGATAATCTCTCTTAGCAGAAAAACGTTAAATAAATTTCTGAGGCTGTGCGAGATGGAAGGTGATTTTCAAACAAGGCTTTACTCGTTTAACAGAAACTGAACACCAAAGTCAGACCATCTCCCAGTGAAACCAGAGCTGGGAACTGCTCCAGCTCCGGTACCCTGTGTCCCAGCACAGCCTCCTGTCACACAAACCCTCCCTGCATCCCAGCTCGCTTCAGAACATGATGAAATTATTCACTGGCAATTAGGGAACCAATGAATGCACAAGACATTTCAGAATATATTTGTATGCTCAAAATTAAAAACAGTTAACTGATCAATACACAGAGATTGTCAGAAAAAAATAAATAAAACCAAGACTATTTTTAGGACATCCATAAAATGGCCAACCTCCTACCAGGGCAAAAAGCAACAACCAGAGTCTCATAATTGGAAGAAATAGTTCCCTGCTTGTCAGAAAAGCTGTTTTTTTCTAAAGCAATCCATAAAAAAATCATTCCGACTGCTTAAGGGCCTTCATAAAGTAACACAGTATCACGACCTCCTCCGAGTTGTAGCAATTGCAAGTAACAATTTCACCCATTACTGATATGAAAGGTAATAAAAATGCAAGCTTTATTCATAAAGGCCACAGGTAAGCGGCTGCTGGAAAATGGATCATTTCCACTATATTGTCAATACACTGTTAACCTGGCAGCCCGGAGCTGGCAGGTTCCCCCTTGCCCTCCCGGAGGACGATGCCGGACGCGGCGGCGCTCGCAGCCGGCCCCGCGCTCGGTGCCGTGCGGCTGCCGCGGCGCACGGATCTGCAGCGGGGACAAACACCCGAGCGGCCACAAACGGAGCACTCGGGCGCCCAGCTCTGCTTCCAAGTTAGGAAATGGGTTAAAAATAAAAGCGTCTGCTGGCCGAGCCGCGTGGCCGGGTTTACACGGCACTTGCTCAGCTCCGCGGCCTGGAGCCTCCCGAGCACAGCCGGATCCTCCCTGCGCTGCTCCCAAGGGGCTGCTGCCCTCACAGAGACCCAGGGTCATCCTCAGCACTAGCTCCATAATTCCGGTCATCCCGATTTTGTGTATGATCACCATCCCAAAGAGATATCTATAAATAACGCAAGGTTGTACCCTCAGGGGACATGCCATTATCCATTAGAAGATTCCTTTAAGAAAGTCTTTTCCCTTTCCATTTAGATTTATTCAGCACAGAAGATGATGGATCTTTCTAAAGGTGTCTCAACAGGACCCTGGGTAAGTTTTTAAGACCGAACGATGACAAAACAGTTCTCAAAATCCCATTTATTGTTTGGGCCTGTTATGCTCCCCAGTGTAAAGACAGCATTACTAGTGGTAAAGCAGAACATAAAGATATTAACAAAGCTATCCTTTTTTTCCTGGTATCAATACAAAGAATCTTTGTCTTTTTTTTCTTTGCTTGTTTGTGCCAACATAGGAATGATGCAAACATTCATGCATCTGTGTTACAGTTTTACACTGGCAGAGCAAATGAGCAGATCATTTCAGGAAGCCTCAACTCTGATTATTTACCAACTAAAACAGACCAACCAAAATTAGCAAGGTGGCTCTTGAAAGGAGAATATCGCCAGAACCCCCCAAGAACTGAAACTTGTTTTTCTTTTGCTGGAGATCTATAGCAGAGCAAGACTATTAGGAAGAGTTCATCTATCTTCTTCACCCAAATCATAAAAGCAAAGACTTCCCCCCAGGGTTTCCGTTTTCTGCAACACGATTACGGCAGCACAGAACGTTGGTTTTCCTCCTATTCACAGGTCGAGTTAGCCTGTTATGAAAAATATAACAGAGGAACAGTCTCACCTTCCTTAAAGCAAAAATTTGATCTACAGGATTCAGATACTGTTTAAACCCAAATGAAGATTCCCTGCAACGCAGCAGTTAAAGCTATTACCAAATGCAAGGCAATGCGATGAAGCCCCAGCAATGCAGACTCCAATTTACAGGAAAGCTCTCCAACCGAATGCTCTCATTTCTCACGTGTTCATCCATAGCAGCCCTGGGGGATCCGGAGTCATCTACGCGCAGACACACGGCGGTAGCGCCCCGGAAAGCCCAGACTCTTGTCATTTACAATGCTGAAGGCTGGAGAGCCTCGTCTCCAGCATAAAACATGAGCTCCCGCAGCGCCAGGATCCAGCACGGCTACAGCTGCACGACCACGTCTGCTGGGGAGATTCAGCTCCTTTGAGCACCAAAATGAGGCCTTTTCAGCCCAGGAGGCCAACACACAGCCCAGGACCCCCCACCACCGATCTTGGCGCTCCATAATCACCTCCTGGCACTTGCTTTATTTATTTATATTTTCTTTCAATGTCTTACTGAGAATCACAAAAGGCCGCAGCTGACTCCAAAGTTTCTTTATCTATTTCACAAGCTGGATGTATTTTGACTTTTCCGCATGCACAAAGAGCAATTACAGCAAGATGTGAGGCAAGGATGTTTTTACCTAAAGGGATTCGGGGCTCAATCTCCGTGCATTTCAAAGTTCAGGATCTACTTGAGCCCAAGAAGGACCAAGTGCTTTATAATTTCAAAGCATAAACAACCTTTAATGCACGCATTTGTGTGTTGTGTATTTTCTAGTATCACACCACTAGTTTCTCACCAAAAGTGCAGAAAAAGAAAGTGACTTTCAGATCTTGCTCTAGCCTTGACTCCCATCTGCTGAACAAATTATTCTTTGGAGCATGAAACAAAAGTTCTATTTCTTTTCAGCAAAAACAGCAAATACCAAGAGGAGTCTCAAGGATCTGGATTTTTGAGGCTTTGCAGGAAGCACATTTCCCTGATTCAGCTCAAAAGGCCCCATATTTTTAAGCTGGAAGGGAAGTATGTTGCTTCTTTTTGTACCATTTGTTTTTGTGCTTTCCAGCACCAGGAGAAGACATTTAGGGCCCCATAAGCTATAAATAACAGCATATGAAAAACAAGGGGAAGACAACTCCACAAGAACAGAAACATACACTAAAGGGGGCTACACATTTAGATGTCAAAGCAATTAGTTGTGTTGTCTGCTATCTTTGTTTTAGAGAGGGGAGAGAAAAAAGCAAATTAAGAGACAAAAAAAAAAAAGAAAAGAAAAAAAAATAAAAGCAGTAGTGCATTTTCACAATGACCATGCAGGTAAAATTTTGAAGAGAAACAAACAAGCTTTGAACCGGGTTAACGTCCCCGGCCAAGCCGGTGGCTATTTCTGCATTGCGCGTTGAGCCCCTCGCAGAGCCCCTGGGTGCGGAGGCGCCCGGCCGCGGTCGGTACCGGTACCGCGAGCGGCCGCGGC